GGGGAGGCAACTCGCAGGAGCAGGAGGGCGGGCGGGCCCAGACCCTCAGCCTTCCACGCGGGGCCTGGGTGGCGGTGGCGGGACTCACATAGTTGGACGCCCACCAGGACTTGAGCCGCAGGTACCACTGCAGCAGCGACGCCTGCAGCTTCAGGAATTCCTGCGCCAGGACCGCCGTCCAGTCGAAGTCCTCGTCGGAGAGGAGCGGCCGGACAGACTCCAGGTACTGAAAGGGGAGGGCGGAAGCGGAGGGCGGGTCACGCCTCGGCCCGCCCCCACCCGCCCCGTCCGCGGGGACCCAGGCCCACCTTGCGCACGGTGTCCTGCACGGAGGGCACAGGCTGGCGCGGCAGGGAGCGCTGGTAACTGAAGAGCATCGGGTGGCGGCCAGAGAAGATGCGGACCAGGGCCTGGGGGAGCGGAGTCACCGGATCCTTAAGCCCCTAACGGGAGCTGAGGACCAGGGTGTCAGGATGGGGCAAACCACAGAGGAAACGAGACAGAGACGCAAAGCGAGGGGCTCAGAGACCTAGGGAGAGAGAGGGGGACAGAGGCCCAGAGAGAGGACAGAGACCCAAGGAGAGGGGACAGAGGCCCAGAGAGAGGGAGACAGAGGCCCAGAGAGAGAGGGGGTCAGAGACCCAGAGAGAGGACAGAGACCCAAGGAGAGGGGACAGAGGCCCAGAGAGAGGGAGACAGAGGCCCAGAGAGAGAGGGGGTCAGAGACCCAGAGAGAGGACAGAGACCCAAGGAGAAAGGACAGTGGCCCAGAACGAGGGAGAGAGACAGAGGCCCAGAGAGACAAGGACAGAAAAGTAGGTCCCGAGAGAGCCTGAGCCACGATCTGCCCCTCACATACCAGCCAGGTCTTGGTGGGCGAGGACATGGCTCCGTGCGGTTCCAGAAGCCAGCCATGGTAGGCCAGAAGCAGCCTCAGGGCCACGTGAAGCGTGAAGATCAGGGCTCCCCACAAACACGAGGCAAACAGCGCGGCTGCTAGGAACCCTCGGAGTCCATGGTGCTGGCCACCCCTGGGGGGAGAGGAGGAAGGGCCGGGCCTGGATCTTCTGGCCTCAGAACCTCCCCGCCTCCAGCTCCTTCCAGCCTCCGCACTGGTATTTTGGCTGTCGGAGGCATATCTTGTTGAACTGGAGTCACACAGAGGGGCCCATTTTCATCATTTGGAGAATAGGAGCGATCCTCTGTCAGCCCCCATCCCCTCCCACTGTAGCACTACCAAGCTTCCAGAGTCACTTTCCACAGAAATTGGCAGGTGTTTCATAGTGGGAGCCATTATTTCTGTTCAGGGGACATTTCTCCCTCCCAGACATCAAATTATACACTAAGGCAGTGTTTCTCAAAGTGTGGCCCCTAGGCCCGCAGCAGCTGGGAAAGCTTGCTGGAAATGCATATTCCTGGGAGCCCCATCCAGATCTAGTGAGACAAACTAGACTATCCTGGGGCAGGTCCAGCCATCAGTGGTTTTTTGCTTTGTTTTGTTTTGAGTTGGAGTCTCACTCTGTCACCCAGGCTGGAGTGCAGTGGCACATGTACGGTCACCGCAGCCTTGACCTGCTGGGCTCTGGCGATTCTTCCACCTCAGCCTTCCAAGTAGCCGGAACTACAGGTGTGTGCCACCACACCCAGCTAATTTT